CTACCCACCCGTGAAAAGCAGAGAGCACTGAGCAGCCTATTTCTCTCCTCTCTACCCCTTTCGTTCGTATTTTCCCTTCCCTTAGCAGCAGCCGGCGATCTGCAGCACAGCAGCAGCAGCGGCGGCGAGGTGAGACGCCGGCGATCGGCAGCAGCACAGCAACCGGCGATCGGCAGCAGCAAATAACCGGCGATCGGCAGCAAGCAACACAGCCCGGTTCGCTCTCTCTCTCTCTCTCTGTCTCTTTTTCATTCGATTTTTGAAATTAGATGTGGATCTGCAGAAACTTGGGTGTGCCAGATTTTTGAAATTTGTGGATCTGCAGAAACTTAGATGTGGATCTGCTTTCATTAGATTTTTGAAACTTAGATGTGGATCTGAAACTTGTATTTTATGCTTTTGCAAACAAAAATAAAATAATATGAAAAAGAGATGTAACATGTGTGATCTGGCTGGCTGTAAATGCTGCATGGTGTATGTACACGCACAAAGACAGGAATATTGAGGGCTGGTTTGGAAGTTTGATTTTTTAGTCACTTTTTAATATTTTAAGAAAAAATTATATAAAAGTAAAAAAAAACAATTTAATAATTTATTTTGACTTTTTAATTTAATTTTATTTTTTTGATTAAAATGTTTGGTTCCCAATAACTGTTCTTCCAGATAATTAGAGATAAAAAAAAAAAAAAAGAGAGAGAGAGAGAGAGAAAAAATAACAAAATTGAAAAGTCATAAATTTATAAACTTTATTAATAATAAAATTTATAAACTTTAATTATTAAAGTCATAAATTTTTTCATGTCTATATAATTATTTTTCAAAAATACACTTCATTTGTAATTTCTTCAAAAAAAAAAAAAAAAATCCCTCCAACTTAACTTTTTTATTGAGAATCTCAGGTATACTTAACAAATCCCTCCACTTGATTTTACCGACTATGTTTGGTTTAATTTTTTAAAAATTAGGATAAAATATAGTAACCTCTCATGAAAATTTAGAAAAAAATATAGTAAATCATACAAATTTGACATAATTACACTTAATTTTTTTAAAAATTTTAATTCACACAACATTTAGTCCCTTTCAATAAGAAATTCATTAGTCATTTGGATATAAAAGTGAAATTGTTATCTCTTTTATATTGAAATATATATCATACATTGTTTATTTTTGTATCTTTATACTATTTGCATCAGTTTCATTCTGTATAGACTTATTAAAAATGTGTTAATGTAATTATGTTAAAGTTGTGAAATTTATTGTATTTTTTTTTAAATCTCAGGGAGAGTGTAATTTACCCTAAAAAATATTTTTAAGCTTTTTTTTAATTTTATCTTTAATAAAAAAAAATCATACTGTAGTCAAAATTCACTAAAGATGAAAGAAAACTCGTCTAAAAACACACAAGTTTTTGTTTGAGTTTTATTTTGTTTTTAGCAAATTTTTTATTTTAATTTTAGTCTTTTTTTAAACTTTTTAATAATTTACTTAAAATCTATAGCATTTTTCTTAATTATCGTCACCCATAATGAATGGGCATTGCCTCAACATTAATTCTATGAATTTCTACTAATCATAGGAAGATGCCAAGTTCACTTCTAAATGTAAAGATATATGATTTTATGATTCTTAGAGGTGTTGGCAATGTTTGGTGGTGAAACTCACAACTTATTTTTGTTTTTTTTTTTTTTTTTGGTGACGAGTATGAAATCTTTAAACCAGGGTGCCACCCGCGTATAGAAAGTGAATAAACAACTACACGTCAGAGCCTTCACAAAATTCTCTACAAATTCCAAGAATTGAGTCAAGTACACCAACCCAACATGAAGCAATCGTAGTCGTATTTTGCACATTCAGTTTTTCGGTCAGACAGGATGGTTTGGCAAATCAAATAAAAGTTAAATAGTTAATGGTCATGCATTTAAAAGCAGGCACTACGTTACACGGACTCAGACTCAGGTGTGTGTATCGAGTGCAAGTACGGGTGCATATCTAAAGGTCCGACACTTCAAAACTAAAAATTAAGAATACGTGAATATGGATCCAAATTTAGATACGAGTAGAGATACGTTAAATAGTTATTTTTTAAATATATTTATTATATAAAGATGAATTAAATAGTTATTTTTTAAATATATTTATTATTTTTTATCTTATGTATTATTTTTATTGATAATATTTTTAATTTATCTATATAATTTACTTTTTTACTTTTAATTGATATATATATTATAAATAAAAAAATATAACAAATAAAGAATAATAAATTATGTTAAAATAAATAAAAAATAAATAATTTATTTTATAGATTTTATTAGATTTTTTATTATATATGATTTAATTACATTTATTATATAACAACTTATATGATTTATTTATAGCATATATTAAAAAGGAGAGAGAGAGAAAGAGAGAGAGAGAGAGAAGAGGAGATCGACTGGGAAGACAGCAGATAGAAGACGACATTGATCGAAACGAGGTCGAAGAGATCAAAGAAAAACAAGATCGAGAGTGAGGAATCGATTGGCGCAAGATCGAAGCCAGCGACCAGAGGGAAGTCGGCGTCCAGGTTCACTTCTTGCCCTCTCATCTTTCATTTCTTCTGTATTTAGGGCAAAACATAGCCGGATCTGTTTGTAAAGGCCATATCCCACACCCGCACCCATGTCATGTTGTGTCGACACGGGTATCTCTGAAATTCCAAAATTTCAAAGAGTCCGTGGAATGTGGGGCAGTTAAATTTCTTGAATCATTCAGAATATGCCACCAAGAAGGAATGAAGTTAATTAGATTAAGATATTTATTTCTCCTTTTAGATATTCTGTTAATTATTCTTTATTTGATAAAAGCCTTGCCAATGTCTTTCCACTAATTTAACCTTCTTCAATGACCGAGGAATATCAAACATACCTGTGTCTTTGTCAAGCTGAACTGAGTCATCGCCACTCTTCACATCAGCTAATGTTGCAAGTGGGGGCAGTGTGTTGCCTTCGTCGTCAAAGACAACTCTGGTCCCCACTGGTCTGTGGACATTAATTTTCAGTTTCTTTTTCTTCAAAACCCGTGTTGCTGAACTACAAAAACAAACCAGCAGTAACAAGATTATAGCACTAGCAACAAGCATGAGTATGGAAAGTAGAGGTAAACAGCTAAAAAATTGAAAATAATAGTATATCAACAAATTGTGATCAAAGCCTTCTAATCTTTTGCACTCTTTCAAGCAGCAGACAACAAACAAATAGTTTAGATTATTAGAATAGCCAGTTGATTTTCTGGGACAGAACATATTGGGTGATTCATATGAACTTGCATAATTACCAGACCACATCATGGGGTGATATTTTTAGATTATATATTGCAGAATTGCACTAAAAGAGAAGGAAGAAAGTGCATACAAATCTCCGATCTCAGTTGCTTTATCTTGCTCTTCATGTGGAGTCGCCTTTGTTAAAAGAAAAACTTCATCCACGTTGTCATCTTCAAGTTTCCTGGTAAATATACTTTCTCTTGGAAGCTCAAACAAATTTTCTTCCTTGTCATAACTTTCTTCTTGAAGAGAATATTCTCCTGACACTTTTTTTCCTTTAATTTTCTGTTTCAGAAAGCGAATTTTCGGAGTCATTGGCAGACCCAATGATGCTGAGTATTCCTCAATGGGCAGTTTCATCACATCAAAAACCTCCTTATCCCGCTGTATATGGATAGACCTCAAGTAGGTGATGAAGGCCCTACAGGCCAGATCCCGCAATTCATCACTCTTCACCAATAAAGCTGCCAACAATGTGGAAACAGGTTGCAGCCTTTTTGTGTTTGCCTAAAATGAAAAGCAGTTGAAACAGCGAGTTTAGCACATGAAGGGTCATATATACCTAGACACAACATGGGAAATTCAATTTTAAACCATGTAGTTTATTTGACAGCTCTTGTATGACAACACAAGGCAGATAGCTTGACAGTGAACTGAAAGTAGATGAATAAATTATGGTTTAATTCATGAATAAGAAGCAGTCTACCTTGATAAACTGAATGGGTATCTTCTTTTCTTGTAACTTTTCAAGCATCTTCATTTCTGAGGGCATCAGGAATAGAACTGACCTCCCACCACTAAGATAACGAGCAGTGCGCCCAACCCGGTGTATGTAAGCTGCAACATCTTCTGGACAATCCACCTAAATATACAAGTCAATCAGATTAAGGACCCCAATCCTACAAAATATTGATTCTTTGAAAACCAATAACTCACCTGCACAACCCAATCAACTGCCTTGTTAAAATCAAGGCCTCTTGAGGCTACATCGGTCGAGAAGAGAACTGAACGTTTCTCACAAAACTCAGAATATATTCCCATCCTTTTCTCTTGCTTCATCCTTCCATGAAGACATTTTAAGGGGATTCCAGGGCGGAGCTTCTTGAATGCTTCAAAAACAAATCTTACCTATTGGATAGCATAACCACAAGTGACAAACAATAATGACAATATGTGCAAAAACTCAGAGAGAGAGAGAGAGAAAAGATGACAATGAAGAAGTAGACAATAAGGACAATGCAAAGAGTTCGACAAAATCACAGCAGGGCCATCAGGGTGTAGAGTTTTGCTTGTCTATTATCTCATAAGCATGTCTGACACAGCAAAAATTAGCTTTGGACAACTCGTGTGAAACAGGTAATATCATGGTAGAATAGTGACCTATCCTCCTAATATATTATTGCAAGCTCTTTGCATGGAGTGCATGAAATCCGAAAAAAGAAATCTGAAACTATAAAAAGGCAACTAAATCCAGTAGGATTTTGGATGGAATATGAAAAGAGAAACAGCAACAAATCAATTCAAGTAGACCACCAATTTAACCCTCATCAGAACCAGCCTAAATGACTCATCATGCATGCACCTAAACAGCACATATCAAATATTATATTACAAAGCTAATAACAAACACGATTGATTACAACCTGTGAGTACCATGCAAATAAGGATATCATTTCAGGTAGAATACAAATGGTGCCTGGGTTACCTGTTTGCAGCTTGAAAGAAACACAAGTATCCTTGAATTAAGATGTGCCTTTATAAAGCTCCACAACATGTCCAATTTTTGATCAAGAGGAACAATCATTGCTGTTTGATGCAAGCGATTGGGAGTGGCAGTTACAGACTCCTCATGCACACTAACATACTCTGGATCCTTCAAACTGAGTCTTGCAAGATCCTGAACCGACTTTGTTTGAGTTGCTGAGAAAAGCAAGGTTTGTCTATGCTTTGGTATCTGTGAAACTATTGCATTTAATGCCTTTTTAAATCCCACATCGAGAATACGATCTGCCTCATCAAGAACCAAAACCTGTTCCCTGGCCAGGAAAATACACCCAAATCAGATGAAATATATCCAACTGGATAAGATGAAACATAAGTCAAGGTTGGCATCTAAAACATAATTTTTCCATACTACATCACTTTTTTATTTTGTTCTGCAAGAGATTCCAACATGATTGTGCGCAGGATGACAATGTGGAAGAAGTGAAGTCCCATATGTTACAAAGTCGAGGATCCTAAATGTGGATGCTTGGAATTTTCTAAAAAGGAAAGTGAGCTACCACTACAGCAAATGAATCAAAGTGAGTTAAGGACAAAAAAAGTTGTGTTAGAATCAATATTACACGGACTGTTCTAATCCCCAGAGCTTCAGGAAGAACTCTACCTTCATCCCAGCATCCTATCCTAATCCTAAACAAATAAAAAGCAAGAAAATGTGGTGAAGCAAAAAAAGTTATCTTGACCTGAAGCTGAGAACAATCGAAATTCGGAGTCTCATCCATGTGCTGAAGAAGCCTGCCAGGAGTGCAGACCAGGATGTTCAGGTCATTAACATGCTCCTTCTCCTCGTCAACGTCTTTGCGACCACCAATTAGGAGGCCAGCACTAAAAGTGTGGTGTTTCCCAACAGACTTCAATACTTCGAAAAGCTGACCGGCTAACTCCCTTGTGGGAGATATTATAATGCTACCAACCCCATCTTCCGGACCCCATCTCGCTCTGTATAACTTCTCCAGAACCTATAAAACAACAAAGCATAAATGTATCAGAAAAATTCATATCTTGTGAAGATTGTTAAGCAAATGCATCTAATAGATATGCATATGTTTGTGTGTGTACCTCACCAACAAAAAAAAAGTACTGCACCATCAAATATATAAAGTTTCAAAATATCATTTTTTGTTCATTATATTCTTGCAGTTTCTTGAGCACAATGCCTTAAATTATCACCAGCCAAACCAAATGCAAGGAAAACTAAACTTACTGTAGTAGACACAGTTAAGATTGAACCTTTTTTTATTGGATTTTTTTTCTCTTTAACAAACTTTATGTTCTTTTCCCCACATCTTTCTCAGCAACCAAACAAAGGCCAAAACAAAAACCCAAATTTTTCTCGGAAAAACTCACCGGTATGATGAATGCAAGAGTCTTGCCTGACCCAGTTTTCGCCGCCCCAAGAATATCGCGGCCGCAGAGCGCATGAGGCAGCGAAGCCCTCTGAATATCAGTCATTTTTGTGTACTTGGCTTCTCTCAACCCATCTTTCGTCTTCTGAGACAGAGGCAATTGATCAAATTTCTTGCTCCCAGCGTAAGCAGAGAACGTGTTTTCGTCGAATCGTCCGATTGGAGCTCCGGACGGCAATGGCGGGAGCGACAACGGGTTCGAACCGGGTTGGGGTTTTCCGAATTCGACCCACGATTCGATCAATTCGATTTCTTGGACCTCCGAGAGTCGCTTTTTCTCGCGGAATTGTTTGGATTTGGGTCGCCTCATTGTGGAAGATGTATGGGTGTGGCTAGGGTTTTTCTAGGGTTTATGAGAGACTGGTTTTGTGGAATGTGCGTGTGGGCGGTGGTAGTCGGCTGGGTTCTGTAGTGGGGAGGAGAAGACGAGAAAATATTTTAGTTTAGGGTTATTAATGAAAATACCTCCATTGATTTTTTTTGTTTACATTAGTACCCCTGCTTTATTGCTTTATTCGCAAGTTTCAGATTTTTGGAAACACCACCGCCAAAATAATAATAAGAGTAATAACAATTTCAATTCAGAAGTAATTTTGAAAAATAATTATGATAAATTTTATAAATATTGAAATTAAAAAATATAAACTTCATCATTGACAATTTCTTCAACAAAAAAAATAATTGTTATTCAAAAACATACTTTTAACTTCAAATTTTAAATTTTAGGTAACTTTTACAGTTTGTTGATTTTATTTATAGAAAATATATATGTTTTTTCCCATTACTTTAGTTTTCAATATTTTTAAAATTTGGAGTCGAAAAGTTTTTGGTAGAGTATTTTGTTCTCTAAATAATGAAATTAATCTTAAAATTTTAAAAAATAAAAACATAAGTATGTTTTTATTTATTTTCAAAATAAGATCGTAATCACTAACTAATTGGTCAATAACCTTTTAGTGAGTTTCAACCATCATCTCTCTAATAGATTCCAATGATTAGATAGTTATTGCATGTGATCTTGGATCATTTTCAAAACATCTTTTACCACTTTATGACATTCGATGATTTTAACCACTAACTCCAATAATTATATCTAACCACTCTTAGTGCTAGTTACAATACTCATCGTCGACCATTAACTATTATTTTTATCAACTCACTTCACATTTTTATTATTTAAAAAAAAATTGTATGTACCAAACAAACTTTTATTTTTATTTTTACAAAAAAAAAAAAAAATTATTTCTTCTTCTTTTTAGGTAAAAAAAATTTCTAAATAATGAAATTAATCTTAAAATTTTAAAAAATAAAAACATAAGTATGTTTTTATTTATTTTCAAAATAAGATCGTAATCACTAACTAATTGGTCAATAACCTTTTAGTGAGTTTCAACCATCATCTCTCTAATAGATTCCAATGATTAGATAGTTATTGCATGTGATCTTGGATCATTTTCAAAACATCTTTTACCACTTTATGACATTCGATGATTTTAACCACTAACTCCAATAACTATATCTAACCACTCTTAGTGCTAGTTACAATACTCATCGTCGACCATTAACTATTATTTTTATCAACTCACTTGACATTTTTATTATTTAAAAAAAAAAATTGTATGTACCAAACAAACTTTTATTTTTATTTTTACAAAAAAAAAAAACTTATTTCTTCTTCTTTTTAGGTAAAAAAAAATACTCACAATTTTGGGTCCATATTTGTCAAGTTTAGGACAAAAATCTTAATTCTTCAAAGAAACAGGGGTACCTGAGCAAAAACAACCTTCGCAACCAAGGTTCAAAAGTGACCCACGCACGATCGTAATTCCCTCGTACCGTCTTCAAGCCAAAAAGCCGCCCCACTCATCATAGATCATTCCCGCAACCTCCGATTTCAGAAAAACAAAAACCCAATTTTTACATAAATACATACATACATAGAGAGAGAGTAGTGAGAGAGAGAGAGAGAGAACAGAGAAATGGGTTGCAGAAACAGAGAGTTCTCTGGAGAAGAAAGGGCCGTCCAGGCTTCACTCAGCGACGCCTTACTATTCACTACTATGTGCATCATTGGCCTCCCAGTCGATGTTCATGTCAAAGATGGATCAATTTATTCTGGAATCTTCCACACTGCCTGTCTTGAGAACGACTATGGTGGGTTGGCTAATCTTTCATTGGATTTCAACTTTTTTTTGTGAATCTATTGAATTTATATGATTTACTTTATGGGTTTTGTTAATTACATGAAATTGTATCTGGGTTTTAATTTTCATGATAAATCGTGGTGATTTCCTCGTATTGGATTGGATCTGCCTGCATTCTGATCTGGATTCATTCTATATGGTTGTTGTTATGTTTGATTGCTGATAAAAGTGGAAAGAGATGAGCAATTGATGTTTTGAATCTTAAGTTTCTTTATACTTTGGAACTTCACAATGCGTAAACATACACTCAGCTGACCCTAATATATCTGTCTGGCTTAGTTGGTTTGAATTTTGTCCATTTTAATCTGTCTCTCCCTCTCTCTCTTTTGCTTTTAACTTCGTATTCAAATTGACAATATCAGTTGAGATTTATGAGATTGGTTTGTGTATGTTTTAGGTGTCGTGTTAAAGAAAGCAAGGATGACTAAAAAGGGGAATTGTGATGCTAATGTAGCAAGTGGGGATGTGATAGAAACCCTTGTTGTCATATCAGAAGATCTCGTCCAAGTGGTTGCCAAGGCATGTCATTATAAATTTTTTTGTTTTCTTGTGCAGAATAATTGATCAGTCTGCTGTTGCGTTGAATAACATGTAACTTCTTTTGGTCTTTAAATAGGGAATTTTGCTTCCGGGTAATGGTGTTGCTTGCAATGTCGCTGGTGACTATGTAGGGGATATTGCAGACACTATTCCTTCCCTTGAATGTGCAGACAGGGAGGTAAAAATGGAAAAGTCTAGCAAAACCAACACAGACAGAATGCAAACTAGTAAAACAAGGTATTGTAGTAATAGAACTTTTTACAAATTTTATTACTAGCTCTTGTTATCTGATGTAGCTTCGTAGATTCGCATGCAGCACTATGCAATAAATTACAAACGACTAGAAACTACTTTAAATAGTTGGGTGTGCAGAAATGTTGTGTAGTTACATCTGTTTCTATTCTATAGTATGTGTTTCTCTGCCCTTTAAAATGCATTAACACGTTATTATTATTAATTATATATATGTTATGTTATGTCACTATGGTATTATTTTTGGATAGAATTATGTTCTTACTTTCATTTATAAAAACAGGAGAACACCCCATACCGAGAATGGTATCACTCATAGGTTTACAAGTACAAAAGTGTGCCATGTAGGCAATCCTCTAGAAGTTGAACATGGGAAATCAGATGGCATACATCCTGTAAAGGTGACTTTTTCCGAAATCATTAAAAGATTATGCTTTTCTTTGAATTAACTTTGCAAATATCTAGCGTGGAGCTAACTCGTATCAGGGAAATAGTGCCCCCTAATTTTGGTCTTGAACTTGGATGTGGCTTGCACTTGATTACACTCATGTGTCTCATGTAGCATGGACATGTGAATGATAAGTTAGAAATTGTGAATTTTCTCTTATTTTCCTCTTTTATTTTTTCTCCTTATGCAGAAGGATGAAGCTTCCAGTGCCCTAGTTAATGGGAGGTATGCATTGCCAACATTTTTTTATTGGTTGTCTTTTCGCTTTGTTAGTGAGTAATTTTTTTTTTTTTGATTAGTTTTTTAGTGAGTAATTTGGCAGGCCCTTTAAATTTTGGGCCTCATGGACTTTGTTCTTCGGTTGGCGTCAACCATGCACATGTGGGACAACACTTCTACGTCCGGCCTGCATTAAAGTGCATAATTTATATGTTGTATATAATGAAAATCTTCCTTTGGACCCACTTGGTTTCCCACTATGTCTTCACAGACAATACTATGCTTAGTACTGGCACTTTTGCCTTTATAGTTAAGACTAATGGGATATAAATATTCATCTCTGGTCCGATTTAGGACAAGCCATTATTTTGGTCGCCTTTTCTTATATTTTACTTCTTTGTTTCGGCAATGAAATCACTGTCATATTTGTTTTTCTTCAATTGTGTCTGACAGACAGATTGGAGATGGCAGATCACAAGGGAAACAGTTTGATTATGAAGCAAAGTCTGATTTTCAAAAGAAAGAACTTGTACGTGGGGATAAACATGACCGTACTTCATTTTATAGGAAATGGGAAGCATTATTTTACATTGCAGAGATTCATTCTGTTAATATTATTTCCATTGCTTTTTTTTTTTTTTTTTTTTGCAGACACATGAAGTACAAGGCTCAGGTTCAAGCTGTGAGTTCACTGTTCCTCTTACTTGTCGATGGTTAAAAATGATTTAACAAGCTCTTTATAGAAATGGCTTTCATGTACATTAATTGGGTGCTTTATGTTACTAATGGAGATTCTGTAAAAATACCAAGCCTTGTGTACCTTAAGGTATGGTAGGCAGAGTCAGTGGCAGGTTCACTGTCCATGGTGCATATTAATGACCTTAAATTATTATTTGTTTGCTTTACAGTTCTCATTGAAGAACTCATTTGATGAAAGCCTTTGTATTATCTCCTTTTTTTGTCCACTGACCAATGACTACTATTAACTGGGTGAAATTTAGTGGATGCTTTTCCATCTCTAGAGAATCTAATTTGGGGTTAAATTACAAGATGAGAAGAGATTAGGCATCAACTTTTCCCAACCAACAGGCTGGCCTCTGTTCATCATTCATTGTTTCATATATTAAACCTAAAATAGGTAACAAATAAGTATAATATAAAGCAAGTAAAACCAAATACAAGCAACTGAACAATTAAGGAAATATAACTAAAACTTGAATCCCATCCAATAGGGATGCCTTCTTTGCTCAATTAAATGTTGTTACTAGATTTGAAGTTGAATAGTTCTCTACATGCAGCTTACCCACCTGACCTAACTAATCGATGTTACTCTTTACATGCAGTTGATGCTTGCTTTACCCAGTCGAAAGCTGTTGAGGGAATTCGTTCAGATATGTCATCCAAATTGCTGCCAAATGGTGCACCTTCTGATCATCCTCTTCCTTCCATTGGTGAACTGAACAGCCAATGTCAAGATAGGCATACTTCAGAAGAAAATGCATACTCCAATGCTATTTCCTCAGCTGTTTCAACTTCTGACACATCTTTTGTGAAGGGTAACACTGAATCACGTGTCAGTTCATCATCGACTCTAACTGAAATGGTCCCTCCAAAAAGTTCACATTCGGCTTCTAAGGTAAATGGATGCTTGGGATAGTATTGCTTGTTATGGAATACATTTTAACTACTTCCTCTGCTGTTTTCTTATCCATCCTCCTATGCTAGTGTATAGATTCTCCACACCATTCAATATTTGGGCCCCTTGGATGTTAGATAACCTTTTTAAAAGATATTGTAGTAAGAGGGGTACGAAGCACTTCAGGGTTTGTAGGCCTATTACTTGTGCTGCCATCGCGAAAAGAAAAGGCTGTACCCAGTGCACAAGGCCCCTGTTTAATGTATGGTCTGGGAAAGGTAGTAGGTGTACAACCTCCACCCAACTTCTTAGTGGAGAGGTTGATTCCTATAACTCAAACCCGCACCACAACATTGGCAGCAGATAGCGCTCCAGGCCACGACTTCTTTGTGTTGCCATTGCTAATCAGGTGATTAGGTAAATTGATAGGAAGCTCATATTAATGCTTAGTTCTTCTGTATATGAGGGTTGTCAATTTGTTGTAATTTGAAACAGACTATAATCATTCAATGATTTGATGGTAGTCGATAATGATGCCCCCTAAAACCAACCATAGTATCTTATCTTCACTTTTAGACCAAATCAATAATTGTTTTGAACTCTTTTGGCTTTAGGAATTTAAGCTCAACCCTGAGGCTAAGGTATTTTGCCCGTCATTTGCAAATCATAGATCGGTGACTCCTCCAGCAGTGCCAACAGTTGCAAATGTGGCTTACATACCTGATAACTTTCCTGTGGTACCCATTGCTAGTGCACAGCCAGAAGTTGAAATCAGCCCGTTTGTCCCACGTTCATCTCTGCCTGTCAAGTTTGTTCCATATGGTAACTTTGTAGCTGGCAGTGGAATCGGCGATTCTCAATATTCTCAACCGGTATGTCCTATCAAGTTTTATTGTTTTTTTATTCCTTACTTGTAATCAGGCATTTTTTTTAGTAATGAAACATGCTAAGGTTCTGGCTTTTCTAGTAACAAGACAATAAATTAAAGTCTTGGTATCTGCATATAGTACCTTAACTTTACTTTGTTCATGCAGAGAATATGTAATTTTTGTCCTTTTTTAAAAACAAAAATCTCTTTCTGACCAAAAGCAATATCTAATAAGGTGGCTTTTTCTTTCCAATAACATAAGCACTGATTTAGTTACTCCTGAAAATTTTCTCCCTCTTCTAGTTGCAACAGTGTTTAGAATTGAGCAGATTGAGTCATCTGCTAACAAACAAGAAACACTTGTGGCAATTTCGTTTATTTAATGTTTTGTTTGTATTATCTGTTTTTTTTTTTCGATACTATACCTAGGTCTAAACAAGGGGGCCTTTTGTTCTCAAACTTGTTCTCTTTGATTGGATGGTAAAATACCCGTCAGAGTGTATCAAGTGCAAATGTTTCTTACTGGATATTTCTTTTTCTGTGTACAGATTATTGGACATATCGGAAACAGGACTCAGTCAGTTAGATATGATGGCCAGCATCATCATTCTATCCAAGCAGGGCCTGCCTACATGCATCCGAATTCCCAAAATGTAACTAGTGTGATTTTACTTGGCCATCTCTGCTGCGGTTTTCTTCCTAGTGGTTATTTTTGTGTTGTGCAACAGGATCAGGAGATGTTTTAACTGTTTCATTGTCAATTGTTAATTGATTTTCTCAGGTTATGGTTGGACGATTGGGGCAGCTCATTTACATGCATCCATTTTCTCATGTAAGATATGATCATTTATGTGAAACTTAAAAAGATCGCATAACAAACTATATTATACCACTTTGAAATTTTCTTTAATCGGACTAATGCAAAATAAAAGTACCTGGGACTGCTATAAAATCTGCATTTGGGTGTTTCTCCCATGGTATGGTAAGTAATCAAATGCTGATATCAAGGGAGAAACTGCAATGAGTAAATTCTGAGTAAATGTTAGTTGACCAAATATTTTACTAACTAGCCAATTGCACTCACTTGCTTTTGTTCAAAAAATATATATATTGCACTTGCCCAATGTTTGTCCTGTCCTGAGAAAGAGTTCTTGTTTTTACTATGAATATAGTCCAAGAGCTCTGCATTGATCCTTTATTTTTTTTTTCTGAACTTTTTTTGTGAATAATGGAGTTTTTTTTGTTTTTGATTTAGTTTTGATTTTATCTTAAAGCTCTTATGTATATTACTTACTGGTGAACTTCATTTACTTGGTTCAATCCAATGGATGTTAGTTGTTCCTTTCTGTTGGGCTGCCCAGCTTTCATTTGCATGAAAGCAATTGACATTGTAGTCTCAAATCACACTTTGGCTGAAGTGATTGAATCAAACTTTGGCTAAAATGAGGTACTGAAAAAATAAGTATCGTATATATGTTGAGTGGCACTTAACTATGCTGAATTGAGTTGTTAAAGAGCACTATTCTTGTTATATACAACTTTTTGGTGATAAAATTGTATTTTCAAATGATCAGTTGTGTGTGAGTCTAATAGTTTAAACCTAGTGGCATCTGGTGAAAGAAAATCCCAAGGGCCATCAATATACCCTTATCCCCTAATAATGAAACCCGCAATAATTATTTCCATATGCTTATCCAAATGCAATCTCTCTTGAAAGTATTTCTTTATATCTTGTTTTAGTGCCTTGTATCTTTAACCATGCAATATCTTGAATCCTTAATTGCCTTCCATGTCAAATTGAAGGATGTGAATCAAGGTGCAGCAGCTTTCTCTCAAGTTTCTAACCGTCACTTGCTGACTCCACATCAGGGCCATCTTCCTAAGCATCAAGGTATGAACACAATAAATCCCGGTTGAATTATTTAAATATGTTATATAAAATCGGTTTACATCAATGCGATTACAATCTATAACCATTAGGTTAATGAGGAATTTCTCAGGTCCTTTATATATAAAGCAGCACTAATTTTTTTTTTTTTTTTTTGGTGAGGTTACTATAGATAAAAAAACCAGACAAGGCTTGTCAACATTGATCAGGTCAATGTAATTCATTTGCAAAATAAGATCAACCAAACTAAGCATGGAATTTCTAGTCACACATTCATGTAAATGTATATTGGAAGAGTGAGGCTTTTCCTCCAAGGCACAAGTCTGTATGCCCTACTCTGTATCTATTTTGCTTGAGCTTATTCCATCTACTTTAAAAGGGCTTGCCTCATTATCAGAATTAAGCATAGAAATTTGTATTTTGAAATTTTGTTAGTTGAAGTTTTGAGTTTGCCCATCTAATTGCTTTGCACCCTGAAATGTTAGTTTTGGAAAGGCAACCCTATGGATCGGATGCAAGGCCTCCTTTTTTTTGAAATGTGTTTTAAATTCAAAAATGTATTTAGTTCTCGGGGAACCTAAGAAAGAAAACACATTAAAAAGAGGGGGGTGAAAAATGTGAATCTATTGTTACCATTTTGATTACAAGAAATTGTGAAAAGCGTGTTGAAGCAACATGTCTTAAAGTGGATCAAATTAAATTTTTTGCCATGTTCTTTTTTGGCTAGTTCAGCATTCAGATTAGATTTAGATGTGATATTTGTGAGGAAGTAATTTTCAAATTGTAGGGACCATGTCTCATTAAGACAACTCAACATTTAATTGCAGGAAATGCAGCAGCTCAAGCATTGCAGCTGTGTGTGACTCCGCCTTTTATAGCTGGACAGCAGCCATTTGCAGCAGCGCAAAGCCACATCCCCCTTCCGCAGCCTCCCTTCCCTGTGATTCGTTCTATTCCAGTTCCAGGATCCAATGGTCTCTTCAGCACCAAGTTTCCGTAAATATGCTCACCAGGAAAAAAAAAAATTTATTATTTCTTTTCGCAAAAATTTTGACTATAGCTAGTTTTAGTGGTCTTTGAAAATTCTTTTAACAAAACAATTGAACTCTAGAGGAGCCTAAATTTTTCTAGTTTGAAGAGCATTTTCTTATAATTCTGAGATATAGGATGACATTACATGGAAACTTCGAGCATCATAAGGTGAAGAGATAAGGTACCGCTATTTGTAAATGAAATGCATCATTTTTTTTATTCATGCCGTTTTGGATGCAATATGATTTCTATGTACTGAGAATCATTAACTGAAAATGTGAGTCTTCATTTCGTTTCAATTTCTGTTACTTTTCCAAGATGAGAAATTCTTGCAAGGAGAAAGTCTAATATTTGATTCTTTAAGGTTGTGTTTGGTTGGAGGATTTGAGGAGAGATTTGGAAATGAAAGAAAAATAATAGTTGAAATGTGAATAAAATATATTTACATTTCACTTTATTTCATACCTGTTCTTTTTGGGTAAGTTACAAATGTACTTCTTAAGATTTACTTAAAATACGAATTACCCCTTATGGTTTAAAAACTTACAAATACTCCCTTCTTAAAAAAATTTATTTATCAGAATTAATTGAAAAAATAAAATTCTTAACCATTGTCTTATATAATAATAAAATTACATAAATTATTAATTGAAATAAAATTTGAATTTCATTAAAAACTATTAATTAATTTAATGTTTTATTAATAAAAGAGATTATTTGTTATGAAATTAAAAATTTTAAGAGGCGAGATGTAATTTTCTTAATCATAGAAGACAATTTGTACTTTAAACAAACTTCACGCAGTGTGTTTATAATTATCTTTTTTTTTTTTTTTAAATTTCTTTCCAAATTCCTCAACCAAAAACCTAAGTAAAAAGCAAAATTAAAAGCGACAATGCTACGTAGCTCAAATTTTGTGGCTCAAAAGTGGCTCAAATGGTCAAAACGACGTCTTTTTGAGTACAGAACAACATAAAAATGGCCAAAACGACGTCGTTTTGACCATTTGAGCCACTTTTGAGCCACAAAATTTGAGCTACGAGACATTTTCCAATTAAAAGCCTAAGCAGTTCAAATGAAGTAAACGGTTCCGTCCGTCGGGTAATAGTATAGTCATGGACCCTGTATTGTTTTTAGGAGTAGAATGGAGAGGATTAATAGTAAGGAGATTGTTAGTGAGAAAATTGATAGTGAGGAGACTAAATAAAATTGTGTTTGTTTTATGATAATTATTAGTGTAGGAATTGTTAAATTATTTTTATATAAAATAATAAAATAAATAAATAAATATAAAAAATTAAATTCATGTTTAAAAAAAAAATCCCAATATGTAAAAAATAAAAAAAATAAAAATTTTTTTAATCCCCTCACTATTTTTCTAATACCACCTCCACATTCTCCATCCCAATCCCCCTTCTAACCTCCATCTTAATCTCTTTCTCAATTTTACAAATAAACACAACACCAAATAATTCCACCTCTATCTTAATCCCTCCCATCCATTATACCCCAAAACAAATGGGCCATGGTGTCTCTCTCTCTCTCTCTCTCAGATTTCTAACAAGAAAACACATTTGACAAACTGTTATACAATAAAATTTTACAAGTACACCCCATTTTAAGAAATGTCATCAAATTTTTGAAAACTGATGCTTTCGAGGTAATTCAATTCAATGTTAGTAGTGAAAATTGTGGAGCCTTTAAGTAAAAATGTTAGAGGTCCTAAATTTTCTACCAAATAAATGACCAAATGTCTCACATGGGTGTGGGGTCTACAATTTGTTTAGTAAAAAATTTGGTGTCCCTATCATTACCCATTTCTTAATAGCAGATACGAGGCAGGCAGGTTACAGCTAGCCATGCTGCTAAATCCAATGTTTGCCCACTGCGCAATTTACTGGATAATAAAAAAAATCTTCATAACACCATGTCTGCAACTCTTCCACAGGAATAGAAACCATCACACCAATGATTTCGAGGCACTTATCAATTATGTCGTATTGGGACATATATGCAAGTTCCCTGATGCATAATGCTCTCCAAGAAGGACCCGATCGTATAGTGAATGTGGTCCGAGAGACAACATGCTATTCAAAGAATAATCACATCATCTATAGGCCTCATGTGACCCATGATAACTAGAAGATCACCAGAACATTCAAACTTCAACCACAAACCCCATGATAACTAGAAGATCACCAGATCATTCAAACTTCAACCACAAACAGGACTAGCTCTGGTCACTGTGTTTCAGAAATGCATTTGGATATTTATAATTTAACTGTAGGAACAATGCACAAGTTTGGCAACATGCTAGGCCTTAAACGATGAGACTAGATTACAATTATCAATAACCCCCAAAAAAAAGTCAGTTTTTTCCCCTCTAAACTTAGAAATAAAAAAGTCAGAATAGTTTTAACTAAAACTAGTTTTTTTGGCACTCGAGGTTTCAACAAACCTTCACAAGAAGTCTGACTTGTGGCGGTAGCTCTGGTGGTGGTGTAGAGAAAATATTGATGCTATACACAAAGGTCAAGGCAGGGACTTAATTGGACATTGACACTAGGCACCAGATTGAACAGTTTCCTCATCCCCAAGATCAGTCTTTGCAGCCATGTTTTCGACTCTAGGTACCTGGTTCCCTCATATTTTCCTGCATAGCCTTCACAAAGTGTTTGATTTCAGCATTTATATCAATGAACTTCCAAGTCCATAAAAAACTATTCAAGGTATTTACTTTTTGAGTGTAAGTTTCATTTTTACCTGCAACAGCTCGGACATTCTGCCAATTCTGTTTTTCTCCGAAGGCTTGGGAACAGGTTCAGAATGATTATGAATATTGGAATGTATAGCTTGCAGGGGCTCTACTACAAGAGGCTCGTTCATGTTGTTCTTTATATGCGTTTCAAGTGACACCCCAATTTGTTTCATTGACTTAACTTGTTCTGCGTACAGAACTTCTGCACCTTGATGGAAAGGACCATTTTCATTCCGCACATCTACACGTGGTACCTGGTGGCTGGCCTGAGGTTGTAAGTGAGGCACTTGGCTTGGAACTGTCTGTACCTGTATGTGTTTGGGGGCTGCTAAATGACCAACTTGGGATGGAATTTGAGGTACTTGGTTGGGAGGTAGAAATCCATTTGACAAACTGACTGGCTGGAGCACAACAGGCACCAACGTGCCTCTTCCACCCACAAAAGGGACAACACAGCTCGACACTGGTGACACATGCTTGCCTTTTGAAGCCACCAGATCAGCAGTTTGAGGAGCAATTCTAATTCCAGGAGGTGATCTATTCGCTAAATGACCAGTTGGAACCCCATGAAGATCTTTGGATTGAGGGTGACGGGCATGCATGTGAGTTTGGTTTTCCATTTGGAGGGGAATTTCATTTCTCCTAATCATTTGAACATGTGGGGCCACATCATTTTCTGCAGAGATAGGAACATAATGTCCTGGCTTGAAAATAACACCCCTGAGATTGGTATTGGAGTTGCCAATCCGAACATTGAGCAAATAACCATCATCAAATACTGCCTCGACTACACCTGTAACTGTTTGGCCCACAATGCCATCATTTGCAACTTCAATGGCATCTAGTTGAAGAGGTTGGATTCGGTTAACCACTTTAAATCCAGGTGGCACCTGAGGACCCTCCCTACGATTTAGGCTTTGATCCTTACGCGGGCGACCCCTTTTTCGCTTCACAGGGAAATTTGGTAGAACATCAGAGTTGTTCCCTGGGTTGAGTTGGTTCATCTTCAGAAACTGTCAAAGAAGTCTAGTATTTTTGCAAAATTTGTTATACTCTTCTTCCCTGTAGACACAAAAATGCAATCTTTGTAAAGTCAAAAGAAGCAAATTAATGCATAGCATGATATTCAAACGGAAATTTATCAATCAGATACATTAAAAAAATAAATAAATAAACCATAGTTACCATTAGCCATTGTATCCTCCCAATCACGGTTCTAAACTTCCATGAAATAACCCCAGATCAAACATCCAGGACATGTGCAATGTATACAATGATAATCTTTATTTCCATTTCACTGACAAAGCAATATATATATACACCATTATCGATTACCATGAATAGCCATTTTTTGATGGGTTAAAGAAGGACCTATGTTATTTACATGATTATAAGTTCCCACAGAAGCCAGCAGAGAGAGGCTTCTTTCGTGAACTCTATCCTATTTGAATAACCAGGCATTTCAGATATATCTATATATATATATATATGTATTCTGTTATTGATTAGCATGGATATCCATTTTTTGATGGGTGAAGGACCTACATTTTTTATTATAAATTTCCACAGAAGCTAGTAGATGGCAGCTTCTTTCATAAACTCCTAATTGAACTACCATGCATTTTGGATGCATCTATGAATACTTTTTCGAAGCAAAGCACGTGGAGTAAACTAGTAACTCAGTACTACTGTACTCGTAAAATCCTGTAGGGTCAGGGACTGGGGAAAAAAAAACCTTTTAAGATGCTGTATATTGATACCATCACCCAATGATCAAAGAAAAACCAATACAAATGAAAATTAAACCAAAGGAAACATATAAATGCATCCAACATATGCATAAATACACAAAGCATTGTCACATTAGTGTTTTCATATCATTTGGTACCCAATCAGCTTTACTTTGAGCAGACAGAACATTGTTTGCCCATAGTTTTTTGGGTATTTATGAAATAGCATTTTGGACCCTTAAATAAATAAATACAAAAAATTCTGAAAATTCCTCTTAAACCGATTAGTTTTTATGAAAAATTTGCAGGGGCTCCCAAATCTTCTAAGAATTCCACTTAGGTCCTAGAGTTTTTCGGATATTTTCATACAAACTATTAACCTCGTCCCCCTAAACTTGTGAGAATTTCACTCAGGCCCAAAACCTTTTGAGGCAGAACACTATTTAGGCCTCAAAAGTCTAAGAAAAGGTCTCCCACGGACTCCAATCAATAAACAAGCAGAAATACTAGACTTTTCACATTATCTAACATAACAGCCAAAACAAACAAAACAAAATAAAAATTGAACAAAAAAAGGCATAGCAGAAACCAGTGAAGTGATAAAAAAAATAATAGAAATTGCAGAGACTAAAAAACCCCTAAGCTGAAAGTATTCGATATACATGCAAACACATTCCCAGTTAATGGTTCAGCGAATAAATTCGATTCAGATGACGCAACCATGCGATGCGATGATGATGATGATGATGAAAGTAGGGTAGTAGATACAAAGTTATCGATATGCAGAGTAGAGAAAACGAGACTAGGGTTTGACAAAGATCGTACCTTTGGAGAGACTTTGGGGGTTTTGGTGAAGAGCAATGAAGAGGAGTGAAGATTTTTGGGTTGAGAGATAGAAATCTGGAAAACCCTAGGATGGAGGGAGATTTATGGGTCAAAATGACGGCGTCGAAATTGTATCCATATATGGAGGAATCTCAGGAGGTCCGAGTGGGTGGTGGTGGTGGTGGTGGTGGTGGTGGTGGTGGGTCTCTCTCTCCCTCTAGTCTAGTGCCGAGTCGAGAGAGCACCAGAAGTGAAGTGACGGGCCTTCCTCTCCTTTCCTCTAATGCTAGACGGAGTTTCCCTTGAAGAAGGGGCCGGGCCGGGCCAGTGCCAGGCAATGAAACATTTGTTTTGTGTGGAGTAAAGGTGGGTGCGTCCCACTTGCCAAATATTTGTATACGTGGCATCAGGTAATTAATTACAGGTCCGGATTTATCTCCCCTAAAATTATTTTTTGACTTTTTTTAATTAATTATAAAAAAAAAAAAAAAACTTATATTAGTTTTTAAATTTTTTTTTATTTTATTTTAGTTAATTAAAAAACAAAGCCCTCATAATCAATGATCAGTTATAAGTTTTTTGTATTTGAAAATTAATAATAATTTAATTTAGAATTTTTTTAAAAATTAATGATAAATTTTATAAATATTATAAAAGTAAAATCATAATTTTTTTTATGAATTTATAATTAAGTTTTTAAACTACCTCTGATATGTAATTTGTCCTAAAAAAAAAAAATGGGATCATTCATCATCTTATAAATCAACCAAGATTTGGACTATCTTTGAATAATATAGTAATAGAAGGAAATGAAAATATGATTTTGGATCTTATAAATAGAATGAAATATGAAAGTGATTTTTAATTATTTATTTTAAGAGGAATTATATTTTCAAATTAAGTAAGAATCTTATTACCACATTCTTCATCACATTCATCCGTAGAGGAATGTTAACGTGAGTCATTTAAGAATAAAAAATATAATTTGAGTTCACAATATTGAAAAATTTATTATTTTTCCGTTGAGAATTCTTAACAAAATTAAATGTTTAAATAGTATTGACACATAAATTTTATTACTAGTATTAAGACTCTCACTAAAATGTAACAAAATGTATACCTTACCAATTATGTGTGTAATCTTCATATAAAATTTTAAAAATATCCCAACGTTTGATATTCAATTTGAACAACATAAGCATAAATTCTTATCACTCCCCATAAAAATTTTCTTACCCAGAGAGAGGCTTCCTGGAGATTAAGTTATTTTTTAAAGGAAAAAGCAAATGACCATAAAATGGTGACCATATATCTATTCTATTATATACAGGAAAGGCGTGCAATAATATTGCCGCTTTTGTGTCACATATTTTGGAATTTTTTCAAAATATCCCTATAGTTAATGTTTATATAAAAAAGAAGAGAACAAGACTTGAAACTGAAATCATGAGTTTAACAAAGCAAGGCCTTTCTACTTGAGGAACAAATACTATATGTATATTTTTGTTTATCATTATTCTTATACTACGACATTTTTTTAAATTGCACATGCATTACATGTGCAGCCCGCTAGTTGAATTATATATACTAATAGGAATGGCACATAAAATGGTAGTAAGAATACATAATTGCCCTGCAGCTCAAGCTTTTATTTCTTCTTGGCGGCTGCTTTCTTCTTCGTAACAATTGTCTTCTTCGTGGCAGTTCTATTTCTTAACACTCTAAACCCAGCTCCACTCTCCTGTCAGCAGCAAATATATATTAAACACAAGAAGCGCAATGATTGGTAACCTCTTAGTTCGGATTCTGAAGGTTAACTAGGGTTAGAAAGGTTTAATTTACACGCCTTGACTATAAGTCATGCTTGTTATTCAAAGTAAATAAATGAATAAATTGTGCAAACTTCAGAACTACATTTGAATGTTGTGCTTTTAGTAGTTGAATCACAATTCATGCGACAAACAAGGCACAACTACTCAAAAACTCAAAAGTAATGAATCAACAGAAGATATTAAGGGAGAAGAATGTGATCTACATTGAGCTGGAGCACCATCAAGCCGATAAGAAATACAGAAAATAATGAGTGCAGGCATGATTGTTCATGGAAGAAGGTATCAGAGAAAACATAAGAGAAGTGTACCTTCCTGTAATGTCTGTATGCAATTTTACCCATCAACTCCAGCCCATTTTCAGACCCCTAAACCTGAAGAAGATTATAAAAAATGGATTATTATAGTAAATTGTAAACAGGGAGACATGCAATTAAAAGTCAAAAGCAACAAAAACAAATACCTGTAAATGCCAAAACAGCAAAATGAGTAAGACATGTATAAACTCGTACACAGCTAGAATTAAATCAGACCGATAGAATTCTTATTCTTCCCAATCAAGTGAACCCTGCATTCAAGGTTTTACACCAAAATGCACAAGGCTTTCAATTATGAGTATGCAATGCCATGATCTACATAAACGATACCTTTATTTTCAAAAATTCGACCAACACTACCAGAAATGGTTTTCTAGGAACTCCAGATCACTCATATCTTTTTACTACCAACAAATACCCACCATACAGCGTTTATTGTGACAACTATTTTAGATCTATGCATAACAGACCCCACTTGTATGGCCTCTTGTACTTAAACTTATCAACAAAGAGAATGAACTCAAAACTGCAATAATTGCAAATAAAATTTGAATGAACAATATTTAGAATACATAGAAAGGCCTTCAACTTACTCCCTTTCCATCTGGGCCCATGCACCATTGACCAGAAGATCGACCAGTTGTGTGAACCTGCCTTTTTCCCAACATCTTTTGGAATGCCCACACCGCTTTTGGGATTCACCGAACTTCCAAAGCCATGCAATACCTCACAAGCATTTTTTTTTTTTCGATGCTTTCTGCCACTTGTTGAACTTATCCCATCATTAGCTTTCACAGCTGCTTGCTGTTCAGAACCTTCTCCATATCTAAATTGACCCCTGAAAACACAAGGTATAAACCCACCATAATAAAACATCTTACAAAAATATTGGCAACAAACTGAGTTGAATGTAAGCACGTTACATGTAATCAATAACTGATGAAATTCTCTGTGAATCCACATAGGAAATAGTGAGTCAACTCAACACCAAGTAATCAATTTTTAAAACTCAAAAATTAACGGCCTAAGGAGGATAGTGAAAATAATTTAACTAATGGTAAATTAACTATGCTGCAGATGTGTTATCATTACAGATTTACACAACCTGGATTTAGAAAGCTTTGATAAACAAGAATCTTCTGTTGATTCAACCATCACGCAATGGGTATCCAACACTACTGGAACAAAAATGGAATATGAAGAACATATTGCAAGGCTTTAAATACTGCCCATGTCATCGCATATCAGCTAGTTCAAACAGGTTTTCTGGCCATAGAATCTACTACAATAACATTGAAAATTTAAAACATACGATTTGGGTGCAAGATGGATTAGGTAGTAGGAGTAGGATTGGCATCTGTGATTTTACAAAAATCGTCTTCCAGCAATGATACATGCACAAAACGTTATGCGCGTCTCACAAAATGTTCTCATTGTAATACTTGAATTACTATACTACAAATGGCAATTTCCAAAAGGAAACTGTAGCACAAAATACATTGTTTAGATGCTAAAGATCTAAACCCTGCCCTGAATAAATACAAAGAACAAATGCACAACCCTATCTTGATGACCAAAAAGAACTACGAAAATATAGGGTTCCTAATTAAATAAACAACTCAATTTAATTCAGCCAATATTATTGTACAGAACCCAATTTTCACTTTCAAGAACAATAAGCAAAACATACAAGATTTCAGTTTTCTTGTCTGACCCTTTTCTCCTAATTTCCTTTCCCATAATTTCTCCACAACCAAATTAACTGCCAAGACTAAGCCAAACATAGTTCAATTAAAACAACCAAAAACCTTAATTTTCCTATTCCCAATAAGAACAAAATTGAGACCCGAAACAATGCAAAAACAATAAATAAAACACAAGTCGCTGAATCTTTACCTCTACACCAATCCTCCTGAGAGGAGATCACTTCAAGTTCAATTTCTTCATCATCACATAAAGAGAGAGAGAGAGTTTGGGGGTGTTTGTTTGGGTTTTTTTGAGCCAACTTATATCTTCTAACTTTGGAAAAAGTTATTTTAGACTGTTTGGTTAAACTTATTTCAAACAATTTCTGATTCTTACAATTTATTTTAACTAAAATAAGCTAATTCTGAAAAGCTGTTTACCCCTTACTTCTGATTATCAGCTTTTGTTGTGGACATATTAATTTACGATTATATTCTTAGATTTCTTTTATTTTTATTTTTTTTAAATAAAAAAGAATCCAAATAGACTATAGATTATTATTATTATTATTTGAGAAATGTAAACAAGTAGTAAATAACAAAAAAATAAAAATTAATTGAAAAAATTATTTCACTATTTTTGTAACAAATACTAGTGAGCAACTTAAATCTATAATTCAATAGTTACACCAAACAGATTAACATCTTCTAATTAAAGTTATAATTTATAATTTGTTAAGTTATAATTTATAATATGTTTTAACTGTTACATCAAACAGCCCTTTGAATGTGGAGAAAATGAGGGATTTGATGTTGGATGATTTGGGCTTCACTCCAGTGGACTGGGCTATTTCACAGTCCAAGTCAATTGGATGGAGTGAGGCCCAATTCTTGTTGGAGAATGGAGTGTTGTGTGAAATCTAAGCTTTACTGTCCAAGTACTGGAGGAGGGATTCGAAGCCCAAACGTTTTGTCTAATTAAACCCGAGTCGAGCCGAATCCAGAGGTCTAAATAAGCCCAAAAAAATTAAAATAAATAAAACAAAAAGTAAATTGGTAATAAATTCAATTTAGGCATTTAGTCTAATGGATATTTTTTTATTAGTAATAGGTCTACCCTTTATAAAATTATTTGATAAGAAATCATTTTATTTGTTTTGAATGATATTTTGTTTTCAATTTTATCCTTTAATTTATCTATTGACTTTTTTTTATATGTTGACTTTTTGTTGACTATTTATTTAAATTTATATTTATCTGTTCAAAAATTTTTTTTCTAGTTGTTAAAATTTATATCTATCTGTTCAAATATTTTGACTATCTGTTTAATTTTTTTCCTTTCATTTATTCAAATATCTGTCCAAATTTTATTATTTGTTCAATTCTTTCACTTATCTGTTCAATTCTTTCACTTATCTATTCAAATTTAAATCTATCTGTTGAAATACAAAGCTAAACCAACCCCTATATATCTCTATCTGTTGTAATACCAATCCAAACCAAACCC